CCTCCTCTCTCTATTTGATTCGCTCTGCTTCTTAGCCCTGGGATCTCAACAGCATCCCTGATCCCCTGCACCATATCTTCCTTGCTTTGCTCGCGCAAGGCATTTCAATGTAGTCCACCTTGTCCTGCTCACAGTGAGGTTGCTGTACTGCATTAAGATCCGTAGATTTTTTTTCTTTTAAATCCACCCAGCAAATCCAGGGCAACCTCCTTCAAAGCACCGTGCCTTAGCTCCTGAATGTAAATATAAGATGACTTTTGAGGATCAATTTGCAAGGTTTGTGCCATGGTTGATAATAAACAGTCAATGGGTGCTTTAATAGGTGCCTGGTCACGTTTGTGAGGTTCAGCTTTGAATACTGAATTAGGAGAACATGACAGGTTCTGCCTTGGAAATAAATCTACAAATAACACAGTTTGGATGTATAAAAACTGAAGCATACCCAGTCCAGTGTGTTATTCTATTGTAGGAATGAATGGTAAAATAAGCAAAGGACTTTATAAACTAAAACAGACACGTACGCAAAGGATCACAAAGGGTGAAAACAAAGCAGGTAAATGACAAAACAAAGGCAGGGGCAACTGAGGAACGACCATAGCAGATCAGCAGCAAACACAGGGCAACAATAGCTACAAACACCCATAATAACAATCACATACACAGACAGCAAAACCAGGAGCAAAACACAGCAAGACAGAAACATCTAAGCACTGGCATACGCAGTGAAGAACTGAGGAACAAGGGCAAGGGCAAGAACTTACACAGCCAAGGGTATGACGAGGGACAAGTGTGAGTCAACTTATTACACAAGCACAAGAGATGAGGGCAACAAGGAACAAGTGAGGGTAATTAACAGGATGGAAAGGAGTTTAACATCAGGAATACAAGTGAAACAAAATATTACAACAAAACCAGGCAGACACAGGCAGGAATGATCATACAAAACAAAGACCTACTACAAAATAACAAAGGGGAAAAAAACTCAAAATATCCAACAGAGTTGAGGCTGGTCTCTTACCGGTCCTGAACCCACAACGGCAGGGACAGTAGTCAGTCCTCTGTCACACGCTCAGCCCATTTAGCCACAAGGCAGTGGCAAGTGGCAGAACAAACTAGGAACTTAAGGGCTACAAGACTGAGAAGGGAACAGGATGGCTAGTGACACCTGCTGGCCAAATGGAGAAAACAAGACAGAACAAGACAAGGCAGGGATGGATCCTGACATAATTTGCTATTATTTTATGCTGTGGCTTTGGCATGCATGAACCACCAAAACTTAGATAACTGGTGTTTACTAATTATTAAAGAATGTTTATCTTCATTGACAGTCAGATACGTAACCTTTAAAGGTTGTTCAGTGTTGAGTTGAAATACACACTGTGGTTGTTCGGCAGCATGCTTGTCGCCTTCCTAACAGCTGCCTGTGTGTATTCAGGAAACACAGTTTAGTCTGACTGGGAAGCAGGTTTATCTGGGAGAAGGATCATATTATCTGTATTGGACACACTAGCTGGGGCTCATCTCAATCCAGAATCTGCCTTGATATTCTAAAACCCCCCTGAAACCCCCATTGCTGCTGTTGCCATACAACGAACATTCTAAAATGTAAAGGCAGAGTTAGAACCTGTGAAGGTGAATCTCGTCCAGTGATCCCCATAGCCTGTAACCATGCCTTAATGTCAACACTGTGGAGGACCTGTGTCTGTAAAGTTCACTGACCTGTATCAGAAATATCAGCTCTGGTTCTTACGGCCTTGTGGCTTTCAACTACACTCGCACACACACCTGAGTTATTCCAGCGCCATGTCATCCTCCACTAACTCTCACACGCAGAGTGATTTTCTATCAGGGGGAGATTCTTGGATATTTTACGGCGAGGCACATAAGAGAGGGGCTTTAATTCATACTGAGGGGCAATGCTTATCATTAGCGAATGATACATTTTGAATTGGTTACTGACAGGCGGAGGTGGCACTCTGGGAACCAATCAGCTTTCAGCAGGGCCCAGTGCTCTTTGGTCCCACCCCTGAATAGGTCCCTGATTTCTGTAAGAAAGTGGACCAAAATGAATCTTCTCCTTTTTTCTGCTTGGTTTATTTGCTCGTTTATGACAATGCATCCCTGTCTAGGTGCAGCTACGGAGCCCTATTTAGTTATATTTCATTTTACCCTCTTTTCCTAGCCCAGCCCTGTCAGGAGAGAGTGATGGAACTGAAATGACTGTTGTTTCGGCAGACATCTTGTGCCGAATTGGATTTATTTAGCTGGACTTGTGCCTGAGACTTGGCTGGCGTCGTTTGTAATCTCAGCGTTAATTTCAGTCCCAGGACAATAACTGCCGAAGGGTCTTTGGGAAAAATTCTGGCATGACTCTATACAAACCTCCATATCGCAACGTTCGAGAATGTGAGAAGTTTTATTAAATAATTGAAGAGACGCCTACCTTTTATAGCCAATGCTTTTGTCTCTAATATCACTGTTATGACCGTGTGACAGAATGTTGTTTCATCACCCTTCAGTCTCACATGAATTCTGGCGCAGTGGTTAAAGGCGCGAGAAAAAAAGAACATAAAATAAACCAGCGGTAGATCCAGGTACTGGTTTCAGCACAGTAGTGGTTTTTAGGGCCTGATGCATGTGAAAGTTTAATCTCCATTCCTGATAGAGATTCCGATAACTAATAATACTTGCCGTAATGTTTTTATATGGTTAAAACTAAAACAGACACCAGTCCTTTTAGTAAACATGCTTTGCTGACTGATTTGATTGTCAGTTTCTGAAATTCAAATAAATAGCACATCCATCCATCCATCCATTGTCCAACCCGCTTATCCTACTGGGTCGCGGGGGGTCCGGAGCCTATACCGGAAGCAACGGGCACGAGGCAGGGAACAACCCTGGATGGGGGGCCAGCCCATCGCAGGGCACACTCACACACCAGGCACTCACACATGCACACCTAAGGGCAATTTAGCAATGTCAATTAGCCTCAGCATGTCTTTGGACTGTGGGGGGAAACCGGAGCACCCGGAGGAAACCCCACGACGACACGGGGAGAACATGCAAACTCCACACACATGTGACCCAGGCGGAGACTCAAACCCAGGTCCCAGAGGTGCGAGGCAACAGTGCTAACCACTGCACCACCATAAATAGCACAAACTCACAAAAGGTTGAAACAATATGAATAAAAAATAAGTCACATGTAAGTCACCATAAAACTTTAAACATGTGAATTTATAACATAAACCCTCACAATTCTGAATTCTCAAACAAGATAAAATTGAGCTAAAAATATTTTTTTAAATATCACATTTAGACCAAAGGTTTTTGTGTGGTATAGTACGCTATCGCCATTCTCAGTCTGTTGGTAATAATCCTTTCCCTGTCTAATGGACCTGGGCTGAGAGTGGTAAGTTATAATACAGGAAGCATAGCTTCTCGACATTTTCTCCAGTGAGAGAGCTCATTTTCGCATCATAAATGTGTAAACAGACATTAGAGTTTATCAGCTGATTTTTTTCCCCAATGCATTTGTGAAACCTTAATATTGGTCAGTGTTATTGACCAGGCAGTATAACAGTCGATGCCTAGTGTTGTTAATGATCAGTGAAGCCGTGTGCCTTTGTATGAGGAATCCGTATACTTTGGTGTCTGTTACATTCCTGGTAGGCTAACAATTTCTTAGAGAAACTGTTTCTGACAGGTTTCTACACCTATTAGAGTCCAGTTAGACGAGCTTCTGCTCTTCTTTGATGAGGCCCTCCCTCAGAATATGACTAATTTCCACCACAGTTATCTCTAACCTGTGTTTATTTTAAGGCACTGAGCCTCCATGTTCAGAAAGCAGACTGTCTCACTGCTGTACCACAGCCCTTATCCTTGCAAAGCCAAAATAGAGTGAAGCCGTTGTTCTTATCTCTGGTTTCAGGTTATTTCGGTTTATCCAATCAGCGCTAAAGATAGCTGCAAATTTCGGTTCTGCAGCTTATGAGTTTTATTCAGAATATAATGGAAATTGCGGAGAGTCCGGTCACGTGCACATGGTGAGCTTGTGTGACTTAAGACGTGAAGTGTCGCGTTCGACCCTTTATGGTTTTCATCCACCCAAGAACTTCATAAATGGATGCAGCACGATGTTTTATTGTGTAAATATCATAGCTTGAACTACATGCATCAGACTAAGTGGTATAGTACAGCAGCTTCAGGCCATGTTAAAGGGGGGTTCCATTTCATGGTTTTTTTTTGACACGATTATGTTTTTCACACTTAGTAAGTCACACTGGGCCCGATCACCAGCTGAATGAAGGGAGCATGAATCCAGGCCGCATATCAGGCTGCTGTAAGTTGCTATAACGACGTTTTTATCCTCCAGAGAGCCATGAGGGCCTTCCGTCGCGTGCGTCTCCGCTGGCCGAAATCGCTTGCTCGTTCCAGGCCTACAGGCTGATCGTGGTGATCCTGAAGACCTCTCATACGGCACCCGACTTCTCCTCTTACTAAGAAAATCGGGGGCTGATCCCCCCCCCCCCCCCCCTTGTTTTCACTGCGTTTGCAGCTCAGTCGTAACTCTGTCTCCTGCCCCCCCCCCCCCCATGTTTCCTTTGCCAGTCAGTCAGCTGAAAAGGGAGCCTTTAGCCCCCGCTACGAGCTGCTGGCGTGCTCTGACAGTCGGGTCACGCCTCACGCTGACGGACGGGGCCTCCAGCTTAGCAGCAAATCGCTTTGCGGTGTCCCTGCGTCATGCAGTCTGTTTTTTTTTTGTTTAATCTGAAATGACGGAATGCTTGTATCCGGCGGGTTGTCCGCTGAGAAGAATGCCCAGCTGGCCTGGCTGGATGTTCGTGTGGAAATTAGCTAATTCTGGTTTAGTTGACGTGGGGAGAGATGGGGTGATGTTGAATTAGATCCTTGCCGTGCCCTTGGCAGGAATGGTGGGTATTTCTTGTTTTTTTTTTTCTTTTTTAAAATCATCATGGCCTCTTCTGCGCCCCCTACAGGACGACGAGGTGGTGCTGCAGTGCTCCACCACCATCCACAAGGAGCAGCAGAAGCTATGCCTGGCCGCCGAGGGCTTCGGGAACAGACTCTGCTTCCTCGAGTCCACCTCCAACTCCAAGGTAAGACTGAGCCCCACGAAGTTCACACTCCCTGTGGGGTGGGGGGTGGCTGGTCTCTTTGTCATGTGACAGCACAGCATGGTTGGGTATGGGCATGGTCACACCTCAGAAATGATGATTCAGAGCCTCTTGAGGAGGGAGGAGAAGGATGTGGCCACACTTAGACCTCTTTTAGTTAAATGGTTAGCCATGGATGTTCAGTCCAACATAATGATTTAATAATATACAAGTGGCATAGGGTAGTACCTAAGGGTTCAAATACTCACAGACCATGGTCATTCACAGGGCATAGTTATTCACAGGACATGGTCATTCACAGGGCATAGTTATTCACAGGACATGGTCATTCACAGGGCATAGTTATTCACAGGACATGGTCATTCACAGGGCATAGTTATTCACAGGACATTGTCATTCACAGGGCATAGTTATTCACAGGAC